GATATTTATATCAAATAGTATTTTTGAATGATAATGAATTTTTGTACAGTCGTGCACCTTTCTCCCTCAACAGCATCAGAACCAAAAAAAAAATAGTAACAAACAATAAACAAAAAACCTACATACGATGTACAATGCAGGGCTAAAAATTGGCTGTCGCACAGTTGCCGGGGGCAAGTTAAAACTGACCAGGGCCACCAAAAGTTAAGGTTTGAACACCTGATGTGTGACTATGCTACAATCCAGAGAGTATCTTTGAGCAACCAACTTTACATGCGAGAATTTTAATTCTTGCATGTAATATTATTAAAACAGTTAAGCATTATAAAAACCTTTAACCACCAAAAGTGATTAACATGTAACTTTTCCCCTTCTACATCCATACATTATCCAGAAAATGCTCAGTGAATAGTCAGACATATCAAGTAGAAAATGTTATCTTGATCTAACACCAAATTCTCGTTAGCAATTCACAAGGAAGTGTTTAACAGTTAGAGAGGAGAATTAACAACCAAAACTTGGGAGCTTAAAAGGATTAATTTTCTAAAAGCTCTTATTTCCAGAAGATACCTAGGATGAACCTCTCTTTAGCGTACTGGTACAATTTCAAGCAAAAAGTGACGACGGTGAAGAAGAGAGAAATATCAGTTAAGGGGTCACAAGAAATTTACGGCAGACAGTGCAAAGAAGTTATATTTTGATCTCGTTTGGGAGAATTGGGATAGCATAATGCAAACCGTACCAGTTCTGACATTAGATATAACAATTTTACGTTTGTTACGATTATTTGCATTTACTTGATTATACTGCGGTAAAATCGAATAATTTTTCACTCTGATGAACTCACCAACCTTTCCTGAGCCTTAAAATGAGTCTCGAGTTTTGAAAAAGTGCTTACTTGGGACTAGCTTATCAAAGAAGAACCTTTGTGCAGAATTCTCCTGGCGAACATGAACTGCCACATATTTTTCATTCTCGGTACGATTGAGACTAAGGTCACTTCTTTGCCCATTTGGATGCTTAAGTTGAGTGATTTGTAACACAGGCTGATAAAAATTCAGCTGGTACTGGATACAGAAGGAACCCTTTCTTTTTTCTTGTGGAGCTAGCGGTTATCGTTGTTGTCGTGTAATAGGCGGGAAATGTACTGTATAGTGATGGCGATAATCATGATGATCATTCTAAATATTTATATGATCGTTATTATTATCATAATTATTATTATTATTACTATTATTGACACCATTATTGATATTATTGTTGTTATTGCTGTAATCTTTATTATTATTATTATTATTATTATTATTATTATTATCGTTTGTATTTTCATTGCCCGTGCTAATAAGACAATTGGCATCTCTGATCTTTTTTTTCCGCTGGCTCTTAGCAATTAACTTGTAACGGAATAAATTAATTAGTAGCTCTTGCGGTTCTGGACCAGAACCCGATAAGAGCTTAGATAATTTCAGTGCATTATGCACCACTACAAACAAAGGGTTTTTTTCGTTTTGTTTTTATGTTGTATTTTTTTGTTCACAATTTTTTAGCCAATCTTTTTGGCTGATTTTTACCATGTTACTCTTAGGTAAGGTTTTTTTTTGCCATTACTTTATCTCGATTATGAAAGCGATCTTACTTAATCCTTTAGCGTTGCGCATTTTCGCCTGAGATAGAAGTGCATTATAAAGCTTTCTTCGAACGCACCAGAGCCCAGTTGTGCAAAAAGACGCCAGCAATAATCCGCGATTAAAAGTTTAACTTGTCCTTGTCTTGAAATAAAGCGTATATTTGGACTTACGTTTTCAGGGATTTCACCTTAGCTATGGCGTGAGACAACACTGGAGGAAAAAATATGCGCAATTAAAACTAACTGCAAAGCTGCAAAGCTGCAAAGCTGCAAAGCTGCAAAGCTGCAAAGCTGCAAAGCTAGATGAAAAATTGTTGGCTAACCCTTGGTTAGGTTTATCGTGTTTTGAACAACGCGGCCCAAGGCCACATCAGGAAGCACCTTGGACAGGAAGAGGCCTCTGTTGTGTTGTTCCCCTTATTCACTTGTTGACTAGTACTTTTGAAAGGAAAAATTTGTTTCCACACGAAGAATCTCAAAGTCTGCAATAAACACCTCTAATCATACGGAAGCCGATTAGGGGAAATCCCAAAAACCTAATTTATTCTTTTGTTCAGGATTTGTAAATGTTGTTTGGATCGTAAAACTTTTTAAACAGAATTTTTATTAAAAATCCTCTTTATACGATTAAAAAAATTTTTGGATTTCAAAAATATTTTGGGATTGCACCTGATCCCTTATGGACTTTCGTAAATCAGGGCTTACTTATACATATAATTCAAGCACAACAATCCGCGACAAAACTGTTTGCACATATATATCACTGGCATCATTCACGCTACTCCTATTAGAAAGTTTTAAAAAGTAACATTATAAATTAACGACAGTTCTCTTTAATACCCTCTTCTTCCATTCAACGTTGCACAATCAAAGGAAACAAAGTGCAATATTGAAAAACTGGAGAAAGAGGGATGTAAAAAATAAGGATACAGGACCATATAAGGGATGTAATTGATGAGCTCTTCCAGACTATGAATGTGGTCCCACTGGTGATGTGGCAAAAATTTTGTCGCCGATCGTAGCCTCCCATATCTGATCCACAATGTATCTCATGTGCTATCAAGGCTACTATAAATTATGTAATTCTGAGTCCTGACGAGTGAAAAAGGATCTCGAGGGAGCCCTCCTTCCCGCCTTGTTTACACCTTAAAGAGGAGCTCGGTGCCAAATTTCGTCGCATTTGCAAATAGCTCACTAACGTAACTAACATAAGATTAGAAAATAAATATGAGCTAATGCTGTGGTCTAATCCAAATCACTAATTTTCCTTATCTTGTTAAATATAACGTTAAGTTAAGATATGTTAGCATTTTATCCATGGGTTTCAGTCAGGTTTTTCGTCAGGAGCCGGTCATTATTTATCCTCTGGGCTGCATCGTCTTTGTTAATAATGTTGACTTGGGTAAATGTCAGTAGTTCTTTATAATCAGAACATTAACCAAAAAAGGCTACGTGGGCCGCAATGCCATGCAGGCGTAGTGTCTGTAGGTATCCCTCCTGTTCACTTGGCTATGAAAGTTACGGAGGTCATACCATTTGCAATTTAGGAGAGTCATTCCCAGTCACAATCGGAGGACTTGAAGGCTGATTACATACAACTTGGGTTGCTGTAAAGGAAGCAAACATGTCGGCTTGTTAAAATCAAAAGTATAACTTCTTCTTTTCTACTGTATATTTGAGGGGAGATTACACTCAGTTCTACGAATAGAACAAATGCTTACCTGTCCATCCGCCAAAATCGATGATTTCATTTAATTTATCAGAGGAAAGGATAGACTTAAGCTAAAGAGTTTCTATAAAGACCCATACTAAAGCAATTTTAACTCCGAGGAAAGGGTCATACGCCTAATTTAAAGAGAGGGGTATGGTGTGAAAACAGCCGATATGATTCAAAACATATTTTGGTTGCAAATTTTAATTTTGTAACCAAAATATGGTTAAAAACATGAAAAGATATGTGTAATTTCTTTTATCCTGGTCCTAAGCATGACTAGATACTTACGAGTTGAAGTCACGAAGTCTCCGTCGGCATGCGCTCTTGTGTTGCACAAATACTGTGACAAAAATTGCTTTCTGTAGCAGACAAATAACATCACTCCAAAGAAAACACACACAGTAAAAGCAACACAAGCCACAACGGCTATAAACCAAATAGTACTAGCACTGCCTCTGTCCTCAGAGCGGTAGGCCATCTTGTCATGTGCGATTGCAGGAGCCGTGGATACCAACACAGCAGGCGCAGTTGTCCTGTAAACAGTAGGCGCGCATTTGATGGTGTTGACATCGTATCGACATACCTGGTTTGCAGGGAGGTTGGACTGAACACTGCACTGTTTCTCTATATCTTCGTCTTTCCTGTCAGCACAACATCTCATACAAGGTTTGCAATCTCCGGTTATAGCTCGATAGAAGCTGTCACGAAACGCGGAAAAACATTCAGATAACCTTTAATCATGGCATTTCATCAGTATTGCGTTGCGTATCCTTTCTGTGCATAATTATAACGCGTGCACGGTAAAAAATTGCAGCTTTGATAACTTCAATTGATGAAGATGAGGTAGGGTTTGAAAAAAATCTCAGCTTAGGCTTTTTGAAATTAACCTTTTACCTCTCAAGATCTGATTGTTTATTCTCCCCTCTAGCTGCAACATATTTCCTTTTAAACTAGTTGCGAGAATTTGGTGTTAAATCAAGATAAAAAATACTCTCTGACATATGAAAGTTAGGACTAAATTGCATAAAGAACAGCGTTGCAATTATTTAACTGAAAGCATATTACGCTCTCTTCATAAGGCGATGTTTGCTTTTGAAAGATACGATACATGCAGTTATTGTTTTTTGGTGAAAAAGGAAAAACCTGATACACCATCTCCTAAAGATTCTCAGTTTACCCAAACACTCCTTCGTTTACATACCCAGCATTGCATTCTCCACAAACAGCATTCTCCGTAGCAGTACAAGGTCTGATCGTTTCTTCGTTAGGGTCACAGATAGTGCACGGCTTACACGAGGAGATATCATGCTTATCCGAGTACGATTTCCCAGGTGTACATTCTACACACTCCACTGTGACATTAGTGGTGACACGTGATCCACACTGCGGGACCATGCCCTGACCCTCGGGACATTTGGGACAGGGAAAACATTCAACTCCTTTAGTGCTCGAGATAGTCAGCTGATTCCACCTACAGCTTCTGCTAAACGCTACTTGTACTGAAAACTAACAATGTAGGGTTTGCTTCAATTAGCGAGTACGTTGTCGAACTAAGTGTTCTGTAGATGACGTAACAGACTATACATTAAGAGGTACAAAATTTTTAAGATATTGCAATCTTTAGAGTTCCATCCGTCCCGTCCCTCTCCTCCCCAGTACCGCGATGGAGGTGATACTTAGCTTGTGTGCACGGGGTTAATTAACTTAAAGATCTGGACAGCAGATAGATCAATGATACTAGGAAGCAGGAAATGCCTTCGTGGGGCTGTATCACCTCACGGAAGTCGAATTTCGCCTGAAATGTGTTTTGATTATTGATAAACCACCCCCCAACAATTGCTAGTTAAGTTAATCAGGATGAAGATAGCTTGGGAGAAATTAAACAATTTTTCTTGCCGATACTGGAAAAACAGCTGCAAATAGTTCATGTCACGGTTTTGTATACTCCTCATTCCTGAAATAGCTAGGCTACTTTCAATTTCGATATAACTTATAAAAAAACTTTGTTCGTTTCGAAACTGAAAGGGAAAATCCCCAGAGCACCTCAGTGAGATGAAAAATTATTCGTAAAACGGCTTGAAAAAGAGTCTTTATTCGTAAAAATTGAAAAATTTAACCGTTCGAGGTTAGAGGAAAAAAAAAGTAAGTCAGAGACGGGGTAAGTTCTTCCCAAACTCCCACAAAAGTTTTTCTATTGCTACCATATTCATCAGCTGATTTTTTTCGGTGCAATCAAAGTGGAAAGTGGGTAGTCTTTACCTAGAGTCGGCTCTAAATCGGCAAATTGGTGGGTTTTCTGGAATGTCGGCATTTATTCCGAGTTTATTTGCAAAGGAAGCAGTTTTTTCCGGTTGAAAGAAATTTCGTTGTCGGGATACTGTACATGCATTCTTAATTATTTACTATTGGTCGGAGTTCTACGCTGTTTAAGAACTTTAAGCTTCCTGTTACTCTAAAAATATTTTTGATGTTGTTATTTGTATTCAAATTTCCTTCAAACCGAATGATTAATTTCATTAATTACAGAAATTCTTTCGTCTATGCATCATCATCATGGCTTTATGTTCTATCAGCTGTTTTGTCTAGGTAACGATATCGTTTTTAAGAACACTTCTATTAAACTATAAACAATAAATTATCTCTAAGAGGTGGATGTCTGAAGTTGAGGTTTGTTTAACCACTTACCGTGCAGAGAGTATGAATAAGCATGATGAAATATGTGTTACGAAGAATAAGCATGACGTTGGCTTCGCCTTTGACCTGTATAAAACAAGCAGTGAAGTCATCATTGCGATGCTAAATGTAGAGATTTCTGGTAAATTCTAGCGCTTTTTATTTAACAAAACGCATCAAAGCTGATGACAAAGCTACGTTTTAAAATGATGAGACTATCCTCAAACTTTTTATCAATAATATTATATTATCAGTGCGGATAAACTTAGAACTACGGCGTGTTTGTCTCTATGAGAGCCGCTATATGCGAAACCTTACATTCCTTTAATTTGTTGCCATAACCAAATTTTCAGTTGTTCTGCGAGGACGAGATGGACATATTTCTCAGCTGACTTCGAGAGAAATAACTTATTCTCCTACTGAATGGAGGAGAAAAAAAATTTTCATAAAAGCGCAAATTGTAAATTTTGCTAAGTATGCGTATTTCAAAGCAAAGAAAATTCAGGAAAGTTCCGTAAAACCGATTTGACACTTTCCTTTTGTTCTTCCTGGTTGGTTCTGTATTGAATTTTTTACAATTCTAAATACCTATTTCCGTTAAAAATCTCATAAAACAAGTTGCTTTGTGGGATAACTACCACAGTCTCTAACTCGACGTCAGTTGACAAAGGAATGTGCAATGACTACCGCAAGCATGATTGCGTCATGCTATTACGAGCTTGTTCTCTCATGAACTAAACGGCGGAAAAATAATTACGAATGTAAAATAAACTATACCTTTGATAGTTTCCTACAATATCTTAATTTCTCGGGAGAAAGCGGTCAGCATTCAGCTTGCCAGCAAAGTTCAATAGCTGTGTGTCAACCAAATATTATTTGGCATTTCGCTGACGTAGATAACCGGGAAAAACCCTTAATATTACGTAGGCCTTCTATAAATAACTGCCCGTGTTTGTAAGTGTTCTGGAAAAAACTCAAACAAATAAAAAATTGACTTGTTTCTTTTTACTTTGGCTTTGGCGTAATATGAATTCGGATAGTTGTGTCACAAATCGTAATTGCTTAACCCTTTAACTCCCTGGATTTGATTGTTAATTCTCTCCTCTAGCTGCTACACATTTCCTTGTAAAGTAGCCGGGAGAATTTGGTGTTGGATCAAAATAAGAACTTAAAACAAATAAGTTTGAATATTCTCATTACCTGCTTGCTGGATAATGAATGGATATTATAAGGAGAGTAACATTTTAATTACTTCTGAGAGTTTAATGGTTAGCAAAGTCTGCGTCGTTCAGAAACCAAGAGCGCCGCATTCTGAAATACATTTCGCCGAAAGCGTCGGCAGTGTTCATTGTTTCGCTCTCTTTTAATAATAGGAATAATAATTGAGTTTTAACGTCATGCTTTTGGGATATTTTTATCCCTTATCAAACGATATTGTTTTCTAGACCTCTCTCGCCCACGTACCTTTCCGGTATTTATTAGACTGCTTCAAAATTCACTCAAGGCTATAAATTAGCGCAATTCGCTTCATTGCTAAATTGTCAAAACCGTAACCACAACTATTCAACATTGCACCCTACAAAGACTACAGATGCCCTATGCGATGCCGTGGAGAACTCAAACCTGTTAGTTTTGATCGTCTGATATCGACTCTCGCAGACAGTATGAATGAAACTATCCCTCATGCTATTTTTTAGAAGTTTCTCGTATCTCTATGGCTTTGATAACATTATTACTTCCTTATGGGTGCAGCTGGTAAGAAGCTTATTCCTTCGCCGCAAGAGATTGATTGATATGCAGGAATTCGAGCGTAGCGTACACTTACACAGAGAACAACGTCAAACCGATCTTATAAGCTAGAAATTTCACCAAAACAATTCACCTTTAAACTGGTTTAAACCGTATGAGACCAAGATAAAACAGGAAAAGGATTTGCAATTTGCTCTTCCAGATGTTTTGCAATGAGTGAATAAATCAGCCCGGAAACAATTGCTGGACGGTTGAATCGACAAAGGAGATATGGATCAAAGTTAATCCACTGTTGTTAAATTCCCACGGATCTTGTTATAAGACAGGAAGTTAATTAGAGAAACTACAGAAAGAATTAACAGTATGCGCAGAGGCGGAAATTTTTTTGAAGCTTGTCTACACTAAATTAAGCCAAACACAAACGCCCACTCAAATTTTCAAGCGTTGTTTGAGTCGTTCATTAGCACAAGGAAACTTCCATCCTGAGAGTGTATCTGCAGCTTAGATTTGTGACACTACATCAGTGGGCAGTTGTTCAAGAAAAGTTTTACGACGAACTAATTTGTTAAGTAACGTCCTGATTTAGCAAAGATTATAGATCAAGCCAGGGAATATCAACTGATATTCTCTGAGGCGAAGCTAATGCTGCGCTAAGGAAACGAGCCATTATTTATCCCCTGAAGGGGATGGGGGAATGGGGGTGTACGGAGGTCGTGTCACAATGAAATTTACATGATCCCCATTTAGGCTGTATAAAAATCTAATGATTCTCCTTCATTGGCAGTGAATGAATCAAAAGAAACACTCAGTTTCTGCAGCTCCCCCTTTATACTCTGTTAGTGACGACCGATCCCTTTCCGTTCCCATAGAAACCCTGTGATCCTCAAAACACTCCGACCACCCTGGGCGGTAAATAATGGCTAGTCTTTGCCCCAACACGTTTTCGTCAACGTTACTGCAAACCTTCGCGGGTTCCTACCGGGAAAAACTTCCTACGCTTCCTTCCTACTTCCTACGTTCTGATGTTGAGGAAACCATCACACACTATGTATCACTACAAAGAATATTGAGTGCAAATTAAAAAATAATTATAATATAGAGATGTTTGTTTTTTCCTCTCCTGAGGGAAAGGAATCCTATAAACAGTAAAGTGATCGAACGACATTCCGTCGAATTAATCGGGTATCAGACGTGATCTCTGATAAAATGTAACTTAACTTGCTCAGCGTCAATCACAAAAGATCAATCGCTAGCAGTGTGAGATTATTTTCCCGTGTTCCTATCGGTTTTCTTTTCAGTTCTTTACACCCAAACATCATCATCATCTAAATATTTCCTTTAGAGCTGAAAAGGAGACTTCATTTAACGATCAAAGCTTCTAAAGTTGTTGCGCTTTGCTTATGACATCCGGTCGGACAGCATCGAGCTCGATTTCTACGATAAATGTCAGCCCAACTTTTCGAATGGTTTTGATACAGGACATTTGTGGTGTTGGCAAGACGTCGGTCCGTCATTTTCCAGAAACTTGATGAAAAGGAGCATAAGATAGAAATAGCTTAAACTGAAATGATGTTTTCGGACTCTTTGGCGCTCCGCTTCGCCAATGTGCGGCTTCGCATTTTCCTTTATCTTCATCGAACCCCAGAAATACCGCAAACGATGCATGGGGTTCAAATTCCACCTTCACTAGATTTAAAAAAAGGAAACGTAAAACACAAAGGGCGTTTCGATTTTTAATCATACCAAATCCTAACATCTTGCGAAACGTAATACAATTATTTCGGATAAATTTCCATACAACTCAGAACCTTTTTAGGTTACTCCAAATCTTCCCAGGACCACTCGCGCCGAATTTTTATTTCTTTCGATCAAATTAAATTTGATTTTTTAACTTCTTTTTTTTTTTTTTTTTTTTTTTAATCAAAGTTTGTAAACGCACGCTAGTTATTGAGGGAAAATGTCTTGTTGAGAGTGACAAGGGCTCGCGGTTTGTCGAACCTTCAAAGATTGTCACAGAACGAAAACTTGCTCGTAGAAGATAACTGGGGAAAACGAGTGGAAAAGTCTCACTTTCACCGAAGCGAAGCACCATCGTGGTTACTGTAAACTTCGGGGATTA